GAGTCAGACATCAGTGGGGCAGATGAACAGCTGGAGCCTGTTCCCAGTCTGTGCATGCGCAGACCTGCCAGACGAAGGGAGCAGCTAAAGAACAGGGGTCGACTTGGGAGTAAGGCCACAGGTGGACGGTGAATGGCCCCTCCCAGAGGAAATAAAATAGGAGTGAAAGGGGAGTGGAGTTTGCAGGAGACCATTAGTTCGCTTCATTGGTTCGTGACTCTCCGAGGCTCCTTGCCAAGTTCTGCAGAGATCGGCCTGGCAGCTCTCCAAGCCAGATAAGGTCTGTGACTGTAAATTCACCTTTGAAAGACTTTGCTGGAGGTGAGTGAGAAGAATTCATAGTAACTTAATAAAAAGTGGTTTTCTCGGGACAAGGAGTCTGCTTTGTGGTTTGGGGAAGCCGAGGTCAGAATACATTCAAGTGTTCCCTCTATTCCAGGGGTGTCGAACTTGATTTCATCAGGGTTGTATTTGACCTCGGGTGGGCATGGCCAGCTTGATGTCACTCATGTTGGGGGGGGGGGCACCAGTACTGGCTCGAGCACTCTGTCAGCGAAAACGTGCATTTGAGCTCCGTTTCCTGCTGCAACGGTCTCCTGCAACCCTTTGCCAGTGAAAATAGAGCTCGGGCCTCCAGACCTCCATTTTTCCTGGCAGGGGCACCATGGGCCAGTCCTTTGTTGTTTCCAGGGCGACCCTGCGGGCAGATCTAAGGACCCTGTGGGAAGGATCCGGCCCGCAGGCCTTGTGTTTGACACCCCTGCTCTATTCAAAAACAAAGAATTGTGTGGAAAACAGCTCCCATGCCTCGGTGGTCTTTCCTACCTGCATTAGCACCTTCAAACGATCCAGGGGGGCAGTACATGTCCTGGATACAGCACCGGCGCCTCCTCCTGCCACCAGGTGGCGCCACCACATCCCCGTCTGCCTCTCTTCTATGGTGAATTCATCCGGGACGGCGAGATTCTCCCCCACATCAAAAATCTGAAAGACAACGAAGCCAAGACCCATCAGCCTCTGCCGCCATCATCAAGGCACTCTGAAGACCTTTCAGTCGGAAAATGAGCACCCGTTTCCTGTAGCCGTACAGTCACAGCTGCAGGTAGGTCTCAATTTACGACGATTCATTTGAGGGGCCATTTTCAAAGTTACAACCACATGGAAAAACACGATTCATGGACGTTTTTCACACTTGCAGCATATGATCCAAAACGGCGGTTTTAATGTTTTTTTTTATTTGCTGCTCTGTGACCGCAATAAAAATTTGTTCTGGTTCTACATGCCCACGAGATCTTCCCGTCTTACCGTTGAGTGTTTCCAGTACAGGATAATTTCTGGAATATTCTCCACCGGGTGCAAAAGGTGATAATCCCTCCATTCATTCCAATCGATCGTCATCGTCCCGTTTCTATCCATGCTGCGGGAATCGGCCGGGAAGGAAAAGGGAAGAGGGAATTAAACCTGTGCTATCGTATTTTTCAGACTATAAGAAGCACCGGAGTATAAGACGCACCAAGGTTTTTAAGAGGCAAATTTAAAAAAAAATAAAAAGTTTTTGCACTCTGCAAACCTCCCCAAAGTGGCCCGGTTTTCGCAAAAATGGGTCCGCTTTTTTTTTCTTCTAAAAAAAGGCATGAGTAGCCTTCAGGAGGCTTAGAGGGTGTTCCTGGGGGGTGCCCCCCCAAAACGAGCAAAAAATGGCCCATTTTCCACAAAAATGGGCCCATTTTTTGTCAAAAAAAGGGGGGGGCATGAATATCCTTTAGGAGGCTTATAGAGTGCTCCTGGGGAATGTTGGGGCAAAACTGAGCAAAAAAATGGCCCGTTTCTTGCTCATTTCTGCCCTCTCCAGCCCCCAGGAGCTCTCTGAAAGCCTCCTAAAGGCTCTGCATGGCCGTTTGGACAGGGTTTCGGGAAGCAAAAAATGCTGTATTCTGTGTATAAGACGCACCAAGATTTTCAACCTCTTTTTTGAGGGAAAAAGGTGTGTCTTATACTCTGAAAAATACGGTAATTAAAAAAAAATTGAACAGCTTCTTTAATTACACACTCTTAACAGGAGATTTCTGGCAACGAGGGAGAATAACCGATCTGGTTACTTCCAGGTCGTTATTCTAGATTCCATGGTGTTTTTTTCCGAAAGGTCAGAGTTTACAAATTTATGACTTAAAATAATTCGTTGCATAAAACAAGCTTTTTGGTGGGCTCCACGCTCTTTCCACTGAAAAATTAAGAGCTTTTTTGCCAGATGGATTTTGATATTGTTTGGGAAAGCAATCGCTAAACGCTGTCCCTGATCCTTCGTTGCCAGACCTGCGAGAAACATGCAACTCGCTTCAAACTTCACCAAGGGGGGAATGTTAGGATACAGACAAGGACAAGAGGCCGGGCAGAGGTAGAACCTCATGGTACTTACTAAGTGACAGGACCCCAGGAGTGCCCTGTCCTTATTCTGACAGACAGACAGGCAGTCAGGCAAGCAAAGGGAAGAAGGCAAAGAGAGGGACGAGTAAGTGATGGTTAAAAATTGGCTGCCGTCAGCTCACAAAAAGTATTTTGAGATACTTATGCACGTACAGATGAAAAACGTATGGAAAAACAGAGTGCTGACAATAGATAGATAGATAACTAAATAGATAATTGATAGATAGCAGATAGATAGATAGATAGATAGATAGATAGATAGATAGATAGATAGATAGATAGATAGATAGATAGAT